TGTGGTCTGTCGTTTTGTGGGGGGGGGGGGGAGGTGGCATGGTGGGACTGAAGATATGTGAGGGATGTTGTGGATGTATGTGGTCTGTCGTTTTGTGGGGGGGGGGGGGATGGTATGGTGGGATTGAAGATAGGTGGGGGGATGTTGTGGATGTATGTGGTCTGTCGCGAGAATGCATAAAGTTATATAAGTGTGAAGATGTGTAGATGTCCCACGTTGATGTGATGGTACGCATTTAGTTGACTAGCTACACACAATTCGTCCCTCTACACAGTGTGTTCAAGTTATGTATCGGGATTCCCCGATGGAATTGCTAAAAATAGACACGATTAATTGCCACTGTGCTTTTCCTAGTGAGGAGCTTTTTGGCTTTTGGAGGGGAAATTAATCCATGTAATGGGATTCATTAGAGTTGCTCCCCTTTAAGGAAATGCTGTCTCCATTGTTCTGGTAAGACTATCAAAGAAAGTCTTGGATGGAAGGTTTTAAATGCTGAAGTTTTTTTCTCAGGACTGTGGTTGCACGTTTCTTTTTTGTATTTTGTGTTTTTGAATTGTTGGGGATTATCCTCTTATAGCAGCCAATCGTAGTCCTGTATTAGTTACAGGTGGGAGGGGGGTAGTCTCGCTAAATATATTGATTGTCATTACTAAAACCAGGCATTAATCGCTTTAACTTAAAGCTTTACCGTTTAACCATCAGCTCAATTGTTGAATATATTTGTGTTAAATGTTCATTTTTAGTGTCCTATACATGGTAGGGGTGGTGACCTGAGAAAATAATACTTCTTGGACACTTTCTAAAAAAGGATGCTACAACAGAGTTAACACTGGTTTGTAGTGGTGTATTTTTGTCATGCTGTCAAAGTGTAGTGGTGTGTTGGTGTTGTGCTGATGTATGTAGTGGCGTGTTGCTGTTGTGCTTATGTGTGTAGTGTTGTGATGGTGTTGTGCTGAGGTGTGTAGTGGTGTGTTGGTGTTGTGCTGAGGTGTGTAGTGGTGTGTTGGTGTTGTGCTTATGTGTGTAGTGGTGTGTTGTGGTTGTGCTATTGTGTGCAGCGGTGTGTTAGTGTTTTGTTGAGGTGTGTAGTTGTGTGATGGTGTTATTCTGAGGTTTGTAGTAGTGTATTGGTGTTATGCTGAAGTGTGTAGTGGTGTGTTGGTGTTCTGTTGAGGTGTGTAGTGGTGTGATGGTGTTATTCTGAAGTGTGTAGTCCTGTGACCCTACACCTTTATACCTAAGTTGTGAGAAAGAAAATAAATGTGGAAATAAGAGATCAATAAAAGAATTGCTGCAAGATCAGATCAATTAGAAGGGGGGGGGGGCAGATATTATCTGTAGATGTTGGTACCTACACTATGTAAAATTGACAGTTATTTTTTTTATCTCTGTATACAAGAGGATGCACACGTGTTTTATCAATAACAAGGTAGGCACCAAACCCTGCTGGAAGTTTCATGATGTTCAGATGATGTCCAGTCTGGTGGTACCAAACTCTGCTGAAAGTTTCATGATGTCCAGATGATGTCCAGTCTGGTGGTACCAAACTCTGCTGAAAGTTTCATGATGTCCAGATGATGTCCAGTCTGTTGGTACCAAACTCTGCTGAAAGTTTCATGATGTCCAGATGATGTCCAGTCTGGTGGTACCAAACTCTGCTGAAAGTTTCATGATGTCCAGATGATGTCCAGTCTGGTGGTACCAAACTCTGCTGAAAGTTTCATGATGTCCAGATGATGTCCAGTCTGGTGGTACCAAACTCTGCTGAAAGTTTCATGATGTCCAAATGATGTCCAGTCTGGTGGTACCAAACTCTGCTGAAAGTTTCATGATGTCCAAATGATGTCCAGTCTGGTGGTACCAAATTCTGCTGAAAGTTTCATGATGTCCAGATGATGTCCAGTCTGGTGGTACCAAACTCTGCTGAAAGTTTCATGATGTCCAAATGATGTCCAGTCTGGTGGTACCAAACTCTGCTGAAAGTTTCATGATGTCCAAATGATGTCCAGTCTGGTGGTACCAAATTCTGCTGAAAGTTTCATGATGTCCAGATGATGTCCAGTCTGGTGGTACCAAACTCTGCTGAAAGTTTCATGATGTCCAGATGATGTCCAGTCTGGTGGTACCAAATTCTGCTGAAAGTTTCATGATGTCCAGATGATGTCCAGTCTGGTGGTACCAAACTCTGCTGAAAGTTTCATGATGTCCAGATGATGTCCAGTCTGGTGGTACCAAACTCTGCTGAAAGTTTCATGATGTCCAAAAGATGTCCAGACTGGTGGTACCAAACTCTGCTGAAAGTTTCATGATGTCCAAATGATGTCCAGTCTGGTGGTACCAAACTCTGCTGAAAGTTTCATGATGTCCAGATGATGTCCAGTCTGGTGGTACCAAACTCTGCTGAAAGTTTCATGATGTCCAGATGATGTCCAGTCTGGTGGTACCAAACTCTGCTGAAAGTTTCATGATGTCCAAAAGATGTCCAGTCTGGTGGTACCAAACTCTGCTGAAAGTTTCATGATGTCCAGATGATGTCCAGTCTGGTGGTACCAAACTCTGCTGAAAGTTTCATGATGTCCAAATGATGTCCAGTCTGGTGGTACCAAACTCTGCTGAAAGTTTCATGATGTCCAGATGATGTCCAGTCTGGTGGTACCAAACACAATTGGAATTTTCATGAACTCCACGCCACTAGTTCATCCAACAAGATACCACAGATCCAGTTTGTCACCAGTCATGGCTCTAGAAATATTTTTAGGCCTGCACTGATTCCTCGTTTAGAAAATAAAGTGCCAATTTATGATCCGACGTAAAAGAATGGGAAATCCATTATAAAACCGCGGATAATGACTTCTGCGATTAACAGCATGAAAATTTAATTGGAGTATGACGCTAAGAAATTAACGGAAATTTTCTCCTCAGGTGCCAGAGTTTTTGGGCAAACAATTTCCTGGTCACGACGGAGGCGCCGTTTGTAAGGGGCGACACAGCATCGCAGACATACGATCTTCAATTAAAGAGTTATTTTTTAATTACTGCGAGAAGTGAACTCATGCAAAAGTAGGAGATGTTAGCGATGTTTTGATTGGATGTAAAATATTTGTAATACTTGTGTTTGTGCTGGTTGTGTGTGTTTATGATGCATATAGCTCTTATAGTTGTTTGCGCTTGTTGTTGAAAAAAAAAACAACATAATGGCATTTTATCCGACACAGTAACATTTGCTAGTAAAATCTCTTAGGGAAATTAAATATAATTTGCTTTAAAATATTGATACAACTAAAACTTAGTAAATAATTATCTCAGACTAATAACAGTCAAGTAAACGTCTAAGATTTATGTCAGACAGTTAGATGCATATGTCGTACAGATAATCAGAGGTAATTAAGTTTAATTAAAAACTTATTATCTCGTTTAGTTTGACAACTGGTGTGCTTCTTAAACAATCGGCTATAAGATTTGTGTCCACGCCCCCTATTAGTGTAATGATTACATTATTACAGCCTACACGGCTGTATGTTAAGCTATTACATTATGCCAGCTGCCGTCATTTCACACGGCTGTAGAACTATGACTGCTCACACAAGGGGAGCCACCACTACAAGCAGTAGCGTAGCGAGGGGGGGGGGGGCGGGATGGGGGGACATATGTCCCAAAATGGGTTGGAAAAATAAATTGAAAGGTTGAGGACGGTTCAAATCGAAAGTTTGTCCCCAGGCGCCGGGAAGGGTCGCTACGCCTCTGACTGCAAGGGGAGCCACCCTACAAGGGGAGCCACCACTACAAGGTGAGCCACCACTACAAGGGGGGCCACCACTACAAGGGGAGCCACCACTACAAGGGGGGGGGGCACCACTACAAGGAGTCTTGAAAAAATAGAAGTTGGTATATGATTAAGAAGGAACAGTGTGGTCGAACGGTAGAGCGTTCGACTGTTAGCCAAAAGGTTTTGAGTTCGGATCTCGGGCTAGAGTCTGTACGAAGTACTCGAGTTTACCCGCGTCTAATGGGTACCTGACTCACGTTAGGGGAGTTAAAGCCTGTTGTACATAGTGATGACCACACTATCAGATGAAATGCTAGGGCACTGACACAGGTCAACTCTACTTCACCTGCCCCATAAACCGTAAGGTGCGAAAGGGTAATTTACTCTACGTATATGAATTAGAACTTTGTTACGATTAAGAAATTTTTTTTTAGTAAAATGTTTGTTGAGACACCGAAAGGTGAGCATGCGCAGAGGCAGGTCACGTGGGACGCTCGCGCACGTGCATCGATCTAGTTTATATTTCAACATGGGTGAGTTGTGCAAACTCTGGGGGGGGGAGGGGGGACTTGTCATGTGGGGTGGTTTTTGGCTTGTGGGGTGGGACGAGGAGGCTAATGGTATGGGGCGGAGGAAGCTAAAGGGGGGGGGGGATTGGCGTATGGGGTGGTTCTTGTCATGTGGGGTGGTTCTCGCCTTGTGGGGTGGTTTGTGGCTTGTGGGATGGGTCGAGGAGGCTAATGATATGGGGCGGAGGAAGCGAAAGGGGGGGAGGGGCTGACTAAAACAATGGGTAGCTATTTTAAGTCATTCACTGATGTTCGATGTTGTAAGTCAACATGATGTTTCAAGTTAACATTATGTTTCAAGTTAACGTTGATGTTTTAAGTCCTCAACCGATTTCGTAAGTCAACATTGATACTTGATGTTTGAAGTGACATCAAGTGATGTTTAATTATGTAAGCCAACACCAATGTTTGTAGACGTACAAACACAACACCAATGTTCGTAGACGTACAAACACAAACTCCCCTCTCGGGTTTGTATTTGCAGACGTCGTAAGTTTGTTGTCCCCAGCATCCGACACCACGTGACACCACGTGACACCACGTGACGACTCGAAGAAAAACCTGCGCGCGACTTTCTGGATCGACGCCAATTGAAGAGCGGGTGCTGGTGCCAGATCGAGGCTGAGACTCGGCTAGTCGTCTTCTGATTGGCTTAGCCCCGGGGTGTTCCCGGCGTTCTGACTTCCCTCCCGCGCGCTCTATAAAATTGTCGCGCGGGGCCACGGGAAAATATTCCCAGCGTACCCCTGCCACGGTAGAACTCTGAAGAACTTTCGAATTTCTGGCTGGCTTTTTTTAAATTTTGGAACTTTTAAATTTTGGAACAACCGTACAAAAAGGTAACTGCACGCATTTTTATTTAAACTATTTTTTATTGCCTGTTTGTTTTTGTTTTTACTTGTATATGCGCGATGTTGAAATCTTTGAAAAATTTATGACACTAGAAGTTTCTAAACATTACTGAGCGAGTCAGATTAAGATTACGCTGTTTAAACTTTAGATTAATTTTGTAGTTGTCTCCCTTGGTCATGTGAAAATTTATATAGCTAGCTTAAATTAACAGCTATTTTCGAATATATGAATCAAAACGATGTTTTATGAAGCTATTGAGAGAAATATTTCGCGTGAGAAAAATCTGGCTCATCAAAGTTAGCATTGTAACATGTATTCATGTAATCACGCCGGCACAAAATTCACGTTAGTTTACATACATAGTGTTAAAAGTTTTGTGCTTTGAAAACTTGTCATATTTTTTATAGTTTGGTTCATTGAGAAATTTCACAACAAAAACCTAATACAGGCTCGTCAGTGTTTCTTTCAGACATTTTTCTCCGGGGTGGGGGCGGATTCAAATTTCCTGGGGTTGAGGTTAACTTTTGTATTATTTTTCTTTCGTTCGCGGGGATGTCTGAAAGAAACTTCGCTGCACGTGTATTGTGAAACAATCTTGCAAATGTTGGGATACATTTTCTTTTCCCGTTCGTACCCGATACATGGGGCAGATGAAGTAGAGTTTATATGTTTCTTTGACCTCTACTTACATGGGGATAGTGTGGTCAACACTGTGCCCTGCCACCTTTGTTTCCCTAACGTGGGTCAGGAACCAGTTAGAGCTGGGTGGGCTCAGGGATGACTTACAGACCGGGGTCCGAACTCCAGACTTTCATGTTAGCAGTCTACCTCTCTACCGCTAGGCCACGCCTTCCCCAATTATGTTATTTCTAAATGTAACCGTTTCTTGTACTCCATTGACACATTCAGTAAAAACCTTTTAAACGGGAAACATTACAATACAAACAAAGTATATCTACGTGCGCAGTGGTGGTCGGGTAATTGAACGCTCGATTGTTTACCCTAAAGTCTCGAGTTCGGAGACGCCTTAGTTCACCTAAAGTGAGTCAGGTACTAATCATAGCTTGGTGGACTACAGACCCGAGCCAGGAATCTGAATTCCAGACACTCTGGTTTGCTGTTCTGATCTCTACCATCTGAACACGCTGTCCATAGCAACAAGTTATTCTCATGGACTAACTTCTACCTCTCCACACCGCCGTCTGCTTTAACCCGAACACTGGACATAAACGTCTGCTTTAACCCGAACACTGGACATAAACGTCTGCTTTAACCCGAACACTGGCCATAAACGTCTGCTTTAACCCGAACACTGGCCATAAACGTCTGCTTTAACCCGAACACTGGCCATAAACGTCTGCTTTAACCCGAACACTGGCCATAAACGTCTGCTTTAACCCGAACACTGGCCATAAACGTCTGCTTTAACCCGAACACTGGCCATAAACGTCTGCTTTAACCCGAACACTGGCCATAAACGTCTGCTTTAACCCGAACACTGGCCATAAACGTCTGCTTTAACCCGAACACTGGCCATAAACGTCTGCTTTAACCCGAACACTGGCCATAAACGTCTGCTTTAACCCGAACACTGGCCATAAACGTCTGCTTTAACCCGAACACTGGCCATAAACGTCTGCTTTAACCCGAACACTGGCCATAAACGTCTGCTTTAACCCGAACACTGGCCATAAACGTCTGCTTTAACCCGAACACTGGCCATAAACGTCTGCTTTAACCCGAACACTGGCCATAAACGTCTGCTTTAACCCGAACACTGGCCATAAACGTCTGCTTTAACCCGAACACTGGCCATAAACGTCTGCTTTAACCCGAACACTGGCCATAAACGTCTGCTTTAACCCGAACACTGGCCATAAACGTCTGCTTTAACCCGAACACTGGCCATAAACGTCTGCTTTAACCCGAACACTGGCCATAAACGTCTGCTTTAACCCGAACACTGGCCATAAACGTCTGCTTTAACCCGAACACTGGCCATAAACGTCTGCTTTAACCCGAACACTGGCCATAAACGTCTGCTTTAACCCGAACACTGGCCATAAACGTCTGCTTTAACCCGAACACTGGCCATAAACGTCTGCTTTAACCCGAACACTGGCCATAAACGTCTGCTTTAACCCGAACACTGGCCATAAACGTCTGCTTTAACCCGAACACTGGCCATAAACGTCTGCTTTAACCCGAACACTGGCCATAAACGTCTGCTTTAACCCGAACACTGGCCATAAACGTCTGCTTTAACCCGAACACTGGCCATAAACGTCTGCTTTAACCCGAACACTGGCCATAAACGTCTGCTTTAACCCGAACACCGGCTACAAACAATGACGCTAGGGGGCGTTGGTGCCCATTGGGATCCGGCTAAATGGCGTTGGTGCCCATTGGGATCCGGCTAAATGGCGTTGGTACCTATTGGGATCCGGCTAAATGGCGTTGGTACCTATTGGGATCCGGCTAAATGGCGTTGGTACCTATTGGGATCCGGCTAAATGGCGTTGGTACCTATTGGGATCCGGCTAAATGGCGTTGGTACCTATTGGGATCCGGCTAAATGGCGTTGGTACCTATTGGGATCCGGCTAAATGGCGTTGGTACCTATTGGGATCCGGCTAAATGGCGTTGGTACCTATTGGGATCCGGCTAAATGGCGTTGGTACCTATTGGGATCCGGCTAAATGGCGTTGGTACCTATTGGAGTCCTGAAAAGGGTTGATGTACCCTTCGGGGTCCGACTTTTGGTTAACTTTGTTATCAGCTCTTTGCTGGATGACATTTGCTTACGATCATACCCAGTGGTTTAACTAAGATATGAAGGGGGGGGGGGGGGAGCGTTTAGCCTGGGGTAGTAACTTTGTCCTGAAAATGTATTTCATGTAAATCCATCACATATTTATCTACAGCTATTTATTTTTAGAAACTCTGGTAAAACTTACCAGCTGTAAAGTACTTACCCGTTAAGACCCTCAATGTTAACACATTAAGACGGGTCTAATGAGGCCCCAGCACAAAACACAATGTCTTTGGGGAGACGCTCAAAGGACCAACACACAACTACCCAAAACCTCCGAAAAACCACCCGAAACCACCATACCCACACTCATACATACACACACACATAACTATCTAAAACCGCCCAAAACCATCTGTACACTTTGAACAATTAGAACACTTCAAGAAACATTCCCAGAAAACAAAAGACCCGTAAGCACACCAACATTCAACAATCAACATTCCCATCTCCCCTTCTACATACTCGCAAGAAAAAAAGACCCACCCCCACTCGTCCGTGTCTGAAAGCATCCACCCACACAAGACCGTATACAATGAGACCAACCTACACATAACTGATCCACTGAAACCAACCTACACAAAACTAATCCACTAAGCCCAACCCTTAAAAGACTGATCCACTAAGACCAACCCACACAAGGCTTATCCACTAAGAACCTTTCTTACAAAACAAAGTAACCTGCCACACAAAATAACAATAAGGCAGGATATTTACACACACACACACATACGCACACACACACACACACACCAATACACACATACATACACTCATACAATATACTAAGACGCCAACAAAATTCTAAGAACCCCCACCAACCTTCCCCCACCCTCCCCACACACCCACTAACCACACGCCCCTACACCGAACGACCGCTCTACCGCACACGTCACCCACGCCCCTGGTCTCTAGCATCCGGTCACAACAAACCACGACAACATCACCACTCGAACCACACGACCTCCACACGTGAACAACTCTCTGAAAGCGCCCCCACACTGCAACCCCTCAACACAATACCACTAATCTTGAGCCCCATGTAAGTCATCTGTTTCATTTAAATAAATCTGCATAAGCTGTCAGGGAATTTTAAACGTAGACCCTCGTGGGGGCGGGAACATTTCAATAAGAACAAATGATCCGAGAAAACAGCCATCGACTGGCACTTGATCTGCAGACGTCACGGTGTCACGTGATCAATATGGACGTACCTGTCAAGTACCTTTTTGGACCTGGCGGTCAATAGGGCAGAGGCAGTAGAGTTCGCCTGTTTCCTTTACCGCTGCATTTGATAGGACTCATTAGTTCTTTAGCCGCCATTACTTTTGCTAACGTGGGACGGTTTCCCATCACAGATCGCGATCCGAACCTTAGACTTTCGAGTTAGAAGTCGTAGCTTTGTCCAACCAAGAACAAACTATAAGGCAGCAGTTGTTTGATTTTGGAGTTGTCTCTCCTAGAAGAGTCCCATCTAACGAGCCTCATCTGCCCGAGTGTTCGAACTCGAGACTTATCCTGAACGACATCAGTGAATTCAAGGCCGATATCCCTGCGCACTACCACACGTCGCAATATCCTGTTTAGACGACCACGTCCGGTTTAGTTGACGGAGCGGCGTGGTCCAGGGGTAGAGCGCACAATCACGGACTGTCTTGTCAGATCAAATCCTGGTGACAGTCTTGGTCCACTCTAATGTCTTTCAGGCCACCTAGCGCGGCTACATTCCAAGAAAAAGTAACGTTAGTTAGTGTGTAGGATATTACCGCCCCTTAATATGGAAATACAGCCTAAAATTATCGATATTATTTAATGTTGTTTTGTTTTGTTTTTTATTTATCTTTAGATATTTTTCTTTAATTTTTTTTTTCAAATACCATCTGTCTCTGTGTCTTTCAGTATCTGGACAACTAGTTAAACATAGACGCTGTAGGGACAACAAAGCAGCTTGACCATCCTTTGAATTGCAGACAGACAATAGAAGAGATAGAGACAGAAAACAGACCAATCACATCACTGAAACACCAACCCGTCAAGATGGCCGCTCTGTGGACAACCGTCATGTTGATCATCCTTACGTCATCAGTTCTGGGGTGAGTACCACGTCACTGTCTATGTGAAATGCAGTGTATCTTTCCAGTATCTACCCTCCCCTTCTCACCCCCCCCCCCAACCATTCTATTGAAAGAAATAGACGACATAAACAATTTAACAAGAAAATATTTACTTTAACCAGTGTCCACACACCCCACGCGTAAGCTTCAAGCCCCCACTTCTCTAGAGAAAATTGTCCGAAAGAAACCCCTATGAAATGTAAGTAAACGTAAACCTGTACCTCTGATTTATCCGAGTAAAACATTTCCTTTCGATGTTTGGAACTACTCTTGATCTTGTCTTTAATTATTTCTGGTGTTTGGCCTTCTATCGTTGACATATAAAATTGTTGTTTTCACTTGTACTACAATTGCCTTAAAAGTCTATGTAATCATACTCATTTATTTAATCTTTAAAAGGATTCTTGGCAAGCGATAAAATTATACTTAAATTTTTATAAATATTAAAGCTGTTTGGGAACCATCGATTACACTCTTATTAATTTTTTTGTATCGAATATAAGCCGTTGAAAATAATGTTTATTTTTATCAAAATATATATTTTGAAAAAAAAAAGACCTCTACCCCTCCTTGAGTCAACCGGAGTGGCCAGGGAAAGTAAAACAATGAAAGTCACAACAATTGTTTTCCATGGTAAAATACACAATAGCGGTCAATGGGGTATAGCCTAGTAGTTTATTTATATTAAATGATATAACATCCCCTATCACCACAACACCCTGACTCTACTAATCCAAAATATAATTAGTAATTATTTGTTTGAAAATTTCTAGCCTTAATAAAACCGGGATTCAATTTTCGCTTATATCTCAAGTGTTATAAAATATTCAATTTTGGTTAAAAAAAAAAAAATTCCTGCAACAACTATTTGAAACCATTTGGAACTTGTAACAGTGCTAAAGTGTTTGTTACAATTTTCTAGTGGGTGCGGGATATCACAATGACGGCAACACTTCTTTTTTTTTATGGGAGGATGTTGCAGTTTTCTTGCCAAAGGTTAACATTCCATTGGTTGCGAGTCTAAATATTTTGGGACCTGCCCATTTACGCGCACTAACGCGTGGATTATCAAACTGCACCGAATGACATTTGCTCCGTTTAAATCCAAATAGCTTTGAAAATATCACAAGTAAAAAACCTTCACCGGAATTGAATATCACCAAAAACATGATATCCGGATTTAGCTGCCAATCAAAATTTGTATTTTAAAAATAGACACGGCATCGATTGTGATGAAGTATTTCTGTGTACAAAAAAATTTGGCCTCAATTTTATTTTTTTTAATTTGAAAAATATTAAATTTAAATTTTTTATCGCTACTTAAAAGACGAATTAGACGAAAACACGTTTCTGTTGCTTTGCAGCGATAGTAAAATTGGAAAACTTTTCCAAACCGAGGAAAGATGCGGTATCGTGGATTTCTTCTTGATTAGCTTCCACTGTATGGCTTTGTGCTGATCTCTTTTAATCCCCAGCCCATTCCCGAATGTAAACCATGTGAGTTGAGATCCTAATCCGCCTAGTTAATCCGCCATGTTTTAGGCCTATATATCTAAAAGTACTGGGCTGGTTTTGATGAAAGAAAAATTAGAATGGACGCAGCAAAATTTTTATTCATGTTAACTGGAGCAGGTACATGTACATGGATGAAGGGTTTCTTTCCGGCATGGATGTCCGGCATCCGGCTTGAAGTCGTTAAAGGGGTAAATATCCGGCTGCCGGTCATGCGTGACTTTGAAGACGACACGGATTAATGGTTAACTTGAGCGTGAGCAGTCACGTATCTGTGTGGGAAGTCACGTCATCAGATCACGTTTGTGAGATGCCATTCTGTGATGTCACGTCTGTGTTGTCACGCCAGTCAGATCACGTCAATAACATCACGAATCTGAGATCACGCCCTTTGACCCTCGACGTTAATCACGTGATGTTATCTGGTCATGATGACGGCTATAATTTGTTCTACCAAGTTGGCCATTCAAGAGAGCGGAAATGTATTTTAATAAACATCACATTTTTACAACTTAACAAATCAAATTTTTATCAACTAGTTAAAAATATTCCATATTTACCATCTAGTTAATATAGATAAAACTTTTGCAATCTGGTTTTAAAAAAAACATCCCATTTTTTACCATCTATTAAAAAACACATTCTTACCATTATTACAATTTTCTAATTGAATGTATTAGAAGCTTAACAAAACTTGATATTCTACTGGGCCAACATAAACATGAATGTATTGGAAACTTTCCAAGACTTGTCGAAATGTAAATACCACCCTTAAGAAACAAAAGCCATCAAATTAACAGGATGTAACTCACTAAATAAAGGTGACAACATACAAACATGGATTTACATTAGTTCAAATTTAAATTAAAAGATAATGACATTTTAAAATGTCAAAACTGTTGTTTTTTTTTCATAACTTACTTTAATCTCTTGAATATCAAATTACATGTGAATTGTGTAGCTCTTTTGCAACACGGCGCTTATGACTACAGCCGTGTTGGGCAGGGCAAGGATCGACAGGGTCGCTGTGCTTTTGTTGATGGTCGACCTGTTTTCCTTCAGGCAACCCACCCTCTTCTGCCGTCTGATGAGAATTAAACCGTACTTTTACATACACAATTCGACACACTAATCGAATTTAACCAACAATTCATCGGGGGGAGAGGGGGGGTGGGGTCCTGAACCAAACTGCAACAATCGGTCACTTCAATCACAAGGGAGGTGATCGAAATAAGGGGAGAGAACCAGAGCTGCCAGATATGGTGTCTGTCTGCCAAATTTCAGTCCCAATTTAATAGTTCGTTCACATCTGCTGGGTCGTAAGTCGAGGGGTGGGTGGAGGGGGAGGGGGGTCATAGGTGGAGTCAAGCACTGGTCCTAATTTACCCACCACCCCCTCCCTTTACTAAAAACAATGACTACCAGAATCTCACAGGGCTATGTAGAAGAGTCAAGTCTTTTATGCCTCATTAAAATTATACCTGACTTCGTAGTTGCAAACACAACAAGCGAATGGTTTATATATATATATATATATATATATATATATATATATATATATATATATATATATATATATATATATATATATATCTATATATATATATATATATATATATATATATATATATATGTATATATATATATATATATATATATATATATATATATATATATATATATATATATATATATATGTATATATATATATATATGTATATGTATATGTATATATATATATATATATATATATATATATATATATATATATATATATATATATATATATATATCGTGTGGAAAGTATTTTAAATATTCTTAAACTAGACAATCTATTTCTCCTGCCAGCTCACCAACTCAACATCCCTCCTCCCCCGTCCCTCCACCCGTGAAAAACAAATGCCTTGAACTTTTGAACTGACCTTGGGAGACCTGAAAATTTGAAAACCTTTTAATGAATCGCTACTAAACATTTTTTTTCTTAAGTAGCCGGACCACGTGATCCCGAGCTTAGCATATGAATGGGTTGTGTCATATTCGTTCCCCCCCCCCCAAACTGCCCCATTCCAGGGCGGGGTGGGTACATGACAGTTTTTGTTTCCAAGATGGAAATAAATTTCTTAAGCCTGGGGCTGAGAAGTTGTGTTGGTCGACTGTTGGCTGACGTTTCCTTCCGTGACGTGATTGGTGACGTGATTGGTGACGTGATTGGTGACGTGATTGGGGACGTGATTGGTGACGTGATTGGTGACATGATTGGTCACGTGATTGGTCACGTGATTGGTCACATGATTGGTGATTGATTATCGGTTAGTAGTAGATCTAGTGGATAAGTCTTGTCAAATATGCTGAGAGATGTTGGTATGTCACACTTCTGGTGGGGCTCATTGGCACACATCAGGTGTGGATGTCATTGGAGTGGTCATTGTCACATTTTTGCTGGCAGTTGTCACATCTCAGGTGGTAAATGTCACACCTCTGGTGGGGGGGGGGCACATCGTCACACATCTGGTGGGGGGCACATTGTCACACCTCTGGTGGGGGGGGGGGGCACATCGTCACACCTCTGGTGGGGGGTGGGCACATCGTCACACCTCTGGTGGGGGGGGGCTCATTGTCACACCTCTGGTGGGGGGGGGCACATCGTCACACCTCTGGTGGGGGGGCACATCGTCACACCTCTGGTGGGGGGGCACATCGTCACACCTCTGGTGGGGGGGGGGGGGGCACATCGTCACACCTCTGGTGGGGGGGGGGCTCATTGTCACACCTCTGGTGGGGGGGGGGCTCATTGTCACACCTCTGGTGGGGGGGCTCATTGTCACACCTCTGGTGGGGGGGGCTCATTGTCACACTTTTGGTGGGGGGGGGGGGGCTCATTGTCACACCTCTGGTGGGGGGGGGGGGGGCTCATTGTCACACCTCTGGTGGGGTGGTGATCATGAAATTTTTTGTAGGATGGTTATTCACAAACGTCAACTACGAGGGGTGGGGGGGAACGGTCGGAAAAGTCAGTCTCAGAGAAATTTTGCAATGACAAGTGAATATAGCTCAGTCGTGCGCGCGCGTGAGTGTGTGCGTATTTACGTGCATGTGAGTGGGAGTGGGTCTGTGTGTGTGTATGTGTGTGTGTGTCAGTTTGTGTGTGTGTGCAATGCAGCTCCTGATTACTAGGTGCGCGGCAGACGAGAGATGCATTCTCCTGACGAGTTGTCAGACGTGAGTGACGTCATACGACGGTGACACCAACCAATGATTTTTACCGGATCCAATTTTTCTGATGACGCGGCGAAAAGATCTGTGCAATTTTTTTTTTAATAATCGTCATAGGTACTGAACAAGACACGTAATCAAGGGGAGAAGGATTTCTGATATTTCTTGAGAACATCGTCGAAATATTTCTTATAGAATGTAGCAAATCAAGACTAAGATACCCAAATACCCTACAGTGTGTTGCCCTACTTTGT